TTAATTGAAAAAACAATTCTAAGAAAACAATATACAGACAGAAGATGAAGAAGAGAGTGTTTAATTGCGTCTTGGGACAATTTTAGCCTGCCTTGTCAGAACGTGGGCAGTTTGCACACAGGCCTCAGTCAGGAGTTATTAACCGACTCTGATCTGAGCTTACAGCTAAACCTCCCGTCGCCTCCACACAGCTAATCACACCTGAATGCCGCCGACCCCGCAGAACCCAGGAGTCAAAGAACAACATGCAACCCCGGGTGTTAATGGTACCATCCTCCTCCTACCCTGCTAACACTGTTTTTCTTTTACTCCCTTCACTCTCCCGCCGTCTCCATCACGCTCTTTTTTTTCTGCAAACGAAGGAAGTGTGGCTGCGTAAAGAGAGAGAGAGAGAAAGAGAGACAGAGAAAGTTGGGGGTCTAATTTTGGCAGGCAAGACTTTTTCCCCTCACCCCGTGTTTGTTCTGGCTCTATTAAAACATCTCAAAGTAGGAGAGGAGAGGAGAGGAGAGGAATGGGGGGGGGTATATGGAGGGAGTAGCATGGGCACAATGAGAGGCATTATGATAAGTGGTGGCATTCTAATGAATTTTGGATTAGAAATTAAATTAAGTCAGAGTTGTAGATGTGAGACTATAAACTTGGACTTGAAGCCAGACTTAAGTAACAAAAATTAGGACTTGAGACTTGCACTGCTGTGAGCGTTGATACAAAGAAATAGTTCTTCATTTTGGGAAATATGCTTTATTAATTTGAGAGGACGTCATTTTAGGCCATTATTAGATAGCACCAGATGGTAGGAAATGAGGGAGAGACAGAGGCAATAAAGGTCCCCAGTCTGATTCGCACCGAGGATGTTGCGGTTCAAGGTCGGCGTCTTAACGTCTAAGTCGTGGGGTAGAGGCTGGGGGATGCTACAACCAGTGGAGACTTCAAGAAGCTATTGGTCGAGGCCGATAAATACTGCACCATGTAACCAAGCATAAAACCACAAAGTGTTGTTTTTACACTTCGGTTTTTGGATGGATTAAACTAAATTGAACAAAACTAAACTAAATAGTGGACTTTAGAGGTGCTGGTAGATGGATTTTGTAACCTTTGGACGGAGCCAGGCTAACTGTTTCCCCCCTTTTTCCAGTCTTTATTTGAATTGAATTAACTGGCTGCTGGGTCCAACTATTATTTATTTTTATTTACCATTATGACATGAGATTGGTATTGATCTTCTCATCTAACCCTTGGAAAAACTTGGAATAGGCTTATATCGTTTTTTTTTTTAAACACAGCAACAGACAGGCCTTGCATAGCCACACACCTTACACATCTATTTATTAGGCCTCCAGATTGAAAGGAATGGTCTGAACCACGTAAAACACTATTAACACTTGCTTTGAAAGGAAAATTCTGCTGTGTCCTTCTAACCCTGAAAGACTCTTAACTTGCAATATGCTTATCAAAACTTGTAACCCAACAAGGACTTGAGACTTGTAAACTTGTCTTGAATTACTTGAAACATCAAATGGACCTGCATTAAGAGACTTAACCAAAGCTCTGGAAAGAATACTTAGAAATCCCAAAAATGTCTGTGCTTAAGGAAAAAATCATGCTTCAAACTTTCCTCTCTTGTCCTCATCCTTCTGTCTCCTCCTTCTTGTATTTCTGATCTGCTCTGCTGTAGTTTTCTGCTCTGGCAGTCACACTGAACACAAGCTGCTTGAATTGTAGTTGAAACCTCCAGGCTGTCAGCTTTTAGTTTGCCTGTGGCTACTCTCAAAAACCCAACCCTGAGGATATATACGAACACACACTCACACTGTAATGTCCCGCACACCACAGAGTGTATACTTAAGCCCAACGTAGAGGGGATGGAAATTAGAGCACAGACCGAAGCAAAGACAACACGGAGGACATGAAGTTCATGTTATGCTCAGGTTCAACAAGCTGGGTGGCAAGAAATTTTCCCCCAAATTTGTGAGTAATATTTGTGGCTAAGAAAACGGAAGTCACTGCGCTCTCTGTAACGCTCTCTGCTGAATGCGGAGACGACGGGAGAGAGAGTGGGAGGTACGAAAAAAAGTGGTGGAACGTGCAAATTAATATATTTCACTTAAACTGACAGCTCCTGGACCAGATGTCTTTCCGAAAATGTTGAATCAAGGAGCGGCAAGTTTTGACGTTTGAACAGCTGCGGCATGAGGTAAGCGGCTGCAGGTCATCACGTGTCATCATTAGTTGACCCTGTCTTCTTGACGGCCTGCCATCCTACTTTACAGCTAATAAAGTTGGCCGTGGCACTAATGATGAGCAGCAGTGACGGTCAGCCCACCACCGCCGCAGCTCCGCCGCTGTCAAAAGAGGCCCCTGTCCATTTAACTGAAGTCTGTAATGACTGTAATGTGACTCAAGATCGCATGCTGGTCTTCGCTTGACTGCAACATTTTCCTTAACAAGTTGGCAGGAAAAACAAGGCAACAGCAGAAGCGAAATTTATTCGATTTTGCAAAGCGTAATGTCGTGTCTGCTGTGTTTAAGCTGTACCTCAGTGAGTTTTAATCTTCGTTTCAATGCAAGAAGCTTCTGTGGGATGTAATCAACTGGAATATCAGACAAAGAATTTGCTTTGCATAGACATTTCTGAATATCATCATGGTGATTTTCATGGAACCAACTCCAATTAACAACTACTCTTTTATGAAAATAGATCATTTTATCACCAGTTAAATCCATAAATAAACCTTTATAGCCTGCATCATCACCAAGCAAGAGGTGAAAAAAGACACAAGAACATAAAAAATTAATATGTTTTCCAATATCTTATGAAAGCACACACAGATATGTCCAGATGGGGTTATTAGTCAAGAGGTCAACATTTTTCTTTAGTTTAGTTTGCTGTAAAATCACTCCTCCAATGTTAGAAATTAGATTACAAAACCCTCACAATCATAAATATTGCCAGTGTGGCACTGTAATCCAGGTAATCTCTTAAATCAACATGTAACATAGCCAGAATTACATCCTCCTATTTTCTAATCTACATCTATTTATTTAAATTTATGTCCAGTATTTTCACATTGTTGACAGTCTAGTTGATTGTTCCTCTTTATTGATAACTCCCATGAGAAAACTGCCATGGGATTTCTCTGCGAGCCAACTGTCTCCTCTATGAAACGAGCTGCAATTGAGCCGTGCAAGGATAAAAAAACAAAACATGTAAACAAAGGAATGGCAGAAACAGATGTTTGCAAAGGAGCACGAGTACATGCGCTCCAACGTGTGCGCGTGTGCACGGACGTGCGCGCAGTCGTTTCAGTGTGTGAGTGGATTTAGTAAGTGTCTGATGTCCACTTTGTGCCAACAGTTTTCATTCACAGAACGCCGCATGGAACATGGCAGTCAGCCTTGCCATAATGTCATTGGGGAAAATCATCCAGCTTAACTCCTTTGATCCTGCGGGAATCAAACAAACTGAAAAAGTTCTTAGCGTTTTATCCCGAAACACTGGGGAGACGTCAAAACAAAGCAAAGGAAGCTCGCCAGACTCAAACAAAAATTTGGATTTGGGCAGAAATATTGCCATTGCCAAGAACATGGAAATGCTTTAGTGGAATTTTTTGATAGTTTGTTACAATATTTTGCATTGTTTGTTTTTATTTGTTACTCTCCAGATCCTATATCCTATTAAGAGATCAGGACTGTGGTTGGTTTTGCTGTATAGTCAGACAGCTGGCAGCTAATTGGGCGACTATAAAAGGTTATATAACAGAAACCACAAAGACAGATGTGGGTCATTTTTCTGTACTGCTCATTGCAATAGGTGGCAATATTTTACGGAGACTTCACTTAATCAACTAAACTCACTAATAGACACAAGACATTCAGTCTTAATTATAATAACTTCATTATAGGCCTGAAATTAGATGAATGTCTCATTATTACACTGAAATTAAATGAATGGCACAGGTTTTGGATTTTGAGTAGGCTAAAGGTAAATTAACCCAATTCCCCCAATACTACGAGGATCAGTATGTTACAGACGCTATGGAGTATATTATAGATATCAACGATATCAAAGATCTGCTTCAAGCCCTGACTTGTGATTGGTGAACAGTCCTGTTCCCTCCAGTCCACATGGTCCACATTCCAACTGTGGCACAGAGTCTATATTCAAATGTGAACCATGTGAGCTGTGATGGTTGGGCAGAGACAGCAGCACAGAACATCAGACATTTGGGATTTAAAGACTCATATTAAATAGTCATTCAGCCACACTGAGACCTGTACCAATAAAACAGAAAATTACAGACCAAGCCTTGCCATAATGTGTGTGATTGCTCAATGAATGTGCCGTATAGGACTTTTTAGGGTGTCTCTATGCAAGCAGGCGATAAATTACTATGAAAAGCATAAAATAGAAAAACAATGCTGGATTTTTCCAGTTTTTCCAGTTTGTCAGTTGTTGTTCAATGCTATTTAATCAATTTACTGAACTGGAACTTTGTCTTTAGTTTAAGTTTAAGTCAAAACATTTGTATTCTCTAAAATGAAATCTGTTTCTATTATGGACACAGACATGGACACAACAGACCCACAAATAGTTACCAGTATAGACAGCAAATCAAAATTAGTTTTTCTCTTCCTCTAGCATTTGTTTTTTGTTTTGTTTGTGCTTTTGCTTGTAAATTCTGTAAAGCACTTTGCCCTGGGTATGAAATGTGCTATATAAATAAGTTATCCTTGTCTTGCCTTGAGTGATCCAGGGATGCAAATGGCAAGGTTTTTTTTGTTTTTTTTTACACTTTTCAGTAATAAAACAAAAAAAATGTTGCATCGCAACACAGGTGTTGGGCATGCAAGAGGTTTTTTGAGTTGCAATATATTCTGAAATGCGTTTGTAATCCGCATCAAAAACACCTGTGAAACGGCCCCCCTATATTGCATTCTGCTAAGTACAGCATGAACAGACTGACAGGAGAAAAATGGTTAGAGGAAAAGCAACTTACGTTGGCCTTCCTGGCAGAAGTGTAGGGAGTGGATCTGGAAAAGAAGACAAGGGGATTTTTTACAACAGGATAAACAATATTGCTCCCAGATTTTTCACTGCACAAGCTGCCAGCTACAAGCAAGAATCAGTTGAGAAGAGTGCGGCTAAAAGGAGCCAGGTCTTAAGTAGGAAAAGATGAATAAGAGAAAATGTCATCATTTGTCACAGTGAGTGCATAAGACATTTGTCATGAAGCCACTTCACTGTGACACCTGCATGCCAGTAAGTAAAAAAAAAAAAAAAAAAAAGTTTCAAAGGTTTAAATGCACAGATGCTACATTCACTTTAACTCCTCTTACCAAATTTGACGAACAGCACACCCGTCGTGGACACAGTGCCCTGGTTGTTGGTGGCCACGCACTGGAAGTAGCCTGTGTCAGTAGTGTCCAGGTTGCGGATTCGGAGGCGTGATCCATAAGACATGGATCGGTACGAGACACGTCGGGGCTCTTGCACCACGGGGGCGTCGTTTTTCAACCAGCGCACAACGGGCGTTGGGTTGCCGGACACACGACAGAAAAGTTCTGCTGTGTGGCCCAGAGAGGTGGTAATGTTGTTCATGGGAGCTTCAAGACGGATGAAAAAGGGCCCTGGGAGACACAGAGGCATAGCAGAGATGAAAAGTCAGAATTTGGAGGAAAAAAAATATGTAAAAAGAAGCCAAGTGAGAAGAAACATCGGGGGTGAGATGATTTAGAGACAAAAAGATATAAGGAAAGGGAAACTATTGTATTACACAAGCCCAACAGCTAAGACATAAATCAAACAACACTTACTGTACTATATCGGAGCCAGATATTAAAACATGCTGCTGTATAAAACTAAAGTGGTAAAACAACTCAATGTTTTCAGACACACATATTCAGGACCTGGTTTTGCAAGTTATTTTGTGGTTGCCACTGTGGTGACACCTAATTTTACTTTTCATCATGCCTGTATGACGCCAGAGGGTTTTCTCCAGCTTGTGTATGAGCTTATGTGGCAACATCACCTGTGTTGTGGGTAAAAACTGAAGGAGAACAACCTTAAGGACCCACTATAATGCCCCAGTTTGACCATGATGAGTTCAGAAGGAGTTGGAAAAGACAAAGCAAAACATTTTTGCGTGATTATCTCCAGGACCACATTTTTCCTCGAGGTGGTTAGAAAAAAAACAATCTGGAGGGCCACCTAAGAGTTTAATGTGCAGGAAAAACATTCGTGTTAATGTTAAGAAAAACCTCTGGAAAGTTTCCTCAACCCCAAAACCCATCTTAGGTATGCAGAAATGCTCCTGGTCACACAAATCAGCCAAAACAAACAAAAGAGGAAAAACACATACAGGGGAATCTCAAATACTAGTTAGACAAACTTCAATTTGTGTGAATAGAGAGGTTGAGGAGTAAAAATAGAGGCCCACACTTACATATGCAAGGACGCCCGCACATTTAAATCTTTGCTATGCCATGCAAATTCATTAGTTAGGGCATCTCTGCACTGGAAAACGTAACATTTGACATTACTTTCATGTTAGGTTTAATTTATGTAATCAGAATCAAAAATACTTTATTGATCCCCAGGAGTAAACTGGTTGCGTTACAGTTGCTCAAGTTTCTAAGCAAGACATTATAATAAATAGAAGTAATAATAATTAAAATATGTGCATTAAATTACAATATATGCAATTTTTTCTTGATTTTTGAGACATCTTTAATGAAATCACATGACCATCCAGGAAAGTTAGAGTTGGAGAGTTGTTGGAAGAATAAAACAAAACTCTCTCAGAAACACTTCAGTCAGGTCTTGCTTCAAGGGTGCAACAAGGGTTTCCCCTACAAGGGTACTGCTGTCTTTTTTCAAAAGTTTGAGTAGTTCTACAGTCTGATTGCTGTCAAAAGATTACTTGAAACTGTAGTGAGCTTGTTTTAAAAGGTCCAGTGTGTAACATTCAGGAGGATCTATGGGCACAAATGGAATATAATATTCACAGGTATGTTTCCACTAGTGTATAATCATTTTCACCATATTGCCAACACTGTTGAGGATTGTCTTGTTTGAATGAACTTTTCTGGAATTGTCAGTGGACATGCTGATGACCTTACTTGGTACTCTGTCACCATAGCAACCCTTGTGGTTGTATGTACAGCTCATCTATAGTCCTGCGGCTAACATATTGTCATGAGGTGTCTAAAATGAGTGCCTACAAAATGTTTGTGAAAAAGAGAAGAGGGCACATTTGTCTTGGCATCGAGCTCTCTCTCTCTTGTGTGTGTGTGTGTGTGTGTGTGTGTGTGTGTGTGTGTGTGTGTGTGTGTGTGTGTGTGTGTGTGTGTGTGTGTCTGTACTCTCACATTGTCCTCCCTAAAGCTCCAGGCTTAACACGGCAATGTGGTACTAACAAGTGTGTGACAATATGAGAAGACTCCCACCATTGACCGTATCACTGCCACCTCTCTCTGTCTTCTCACCCACTTTTTTATCTGTCCTCCTTACTCTTCACACACACACACACACACACACACCCACACACACACACACACACACACACACACACACACACACACACACACACACACACACACACGCCTCCATATTTATACAGTCCTGTCTCTCCACATTACAGCACTAAATTCAGAATGAAACTTCCAGCACATCAATGTTGACGATGTCAATAAAATTGATATAAATCAAAACATCTGGATAGTATCCGAAACAACACAGTATTCAGAATCTCCAATTTTACTATTATATAGTGACATACTTTATTGCCACATAGTATTATCCATCCTGTCTCTCCCACTTTCATTCACTCCCTTCCCTGTCTCTCCCAATCTATTTACTCCCCCACTCTCCTGCCCATGTATGTGCTACAATTTCAGACATACAAAAAATGTATCTCACTTAGGTGTGTGTGTGGGGGGGGAGATGCTCTTGCATTACATCATACAGACAAAAAGCAAAAGTCAGACCATTTCTTCTCTGCAATATAAGATATATTCATTTTGTAGTTGTTACAGCATGATCAATACACATTTTTCCCAAAAATACACTTAAAAGTGAGACTGTACAAGTAAACTAATTTAACACATTTAAAGGCCTAAAATTCAGATTAAATTAATGTCAACATTTTTCTTTTTTTTCTATCTAGCCAACAATACACACATTTAAAGAACATTTAATGTACTGACACAGACTCCTGTGTCTTCTGTTGATTTAACAAGCCTTGTAAATGGATTATCAAGGCAAAATCTGATAGTTAAACGTAATAGGTGCTGTAATGGGTTGTGCATAATTGATAGCCAGGTCAAAGTCTGATATGATTATAAACCACGAAGCATGCTCTGACAGAAAGTAATGCAAAAGCACAACTGTGCAATTTGTAAGAGTGTGTGGGAGAGACTGAATAAAGAAAATATGGAATGCAGCAGTTTCTGCAGTTAATTTGTGTCACTCGATTTTTTTCATAACTTGTTTATTCAGCTGTTTCGCCACTTTGTGTTTTGCTTTATTTTTCTATTTAATCTGTCGAGTCTGATTATGTTACCATTTGTAATCACTTTAAATGTCATGAGACAAGCGTAAGAGTACTGAGATGGAAGACATTAACTGTGTTCCTTCTGTATCAAGCATAAGGCCAGTTTTATTTAGTAAAAATATTTTCTCATTAAACTTTACTTTGCTGTGCTGTTTACTCTTAATTTGTCACATCAACCAACTCGAAGTCCTCACTAAAACATCTCAAAAAGGTAAATATGTGCCATGACGTTGTCATTACAGTTCAGGGGAAAATGTCAATTGAAACTTTTCCAGGAATCCAGGACAGGGAAAGGCATTTTTAGACCCCTGATTGGTTCCTCAAATGGTTTTATGAGTCTAATAGGTAGGCGAATTTTCTCAAAACATAAAGAAGCATTCATTGGAACAGCAAAGATTTGCAACTATTAAGAGGAGATCATTATACTTTATCTTTCTTTCATGCCACATGGCTTGGAATGCGAATTGCTAATAATTTATTGGAGTGCTATGATTACTCCTGTATTAATTAATAAGTGGTCATTGTATGAGTGGACATTTATAGTAAAATCATTAATATTTTTGCTGATTTACTGCTCTCTCCGATACTCTGTGTGAACTGGGGCTGTCATAATAGACTTTGACAGTGTTTGGCGAGATGGTGCCGTCAGTCTGGTCTGTGTTGTTGGGTTCCTTTGATTATGTGTTCAGTTGCACTTTTGTTGGTGTATTCCTCTTTTTATCTAAAATAAAATAAAATAAAATCTTTAATAACAAACCATAAGCCCAACACAGCTCTACCTGCAATGTACAGTAGGATGTGTCATTTAGAAGAGACAAGCTTTGAAAAGTGTTGCAACGCTCCTTATATTCACAGGTCATCACTTCTCACAACCTCACTTACACTCACAGGAAAAAACAACCATACTCAATTTGCAATGCTGACATTAATAAAAACCTGAGGTCATTGGCTCTGATGATACATTTGTTTTCATGAGAGTGTGTGACAGTGTGTGCTTACTTCTGTGTGTGTGGGTGTGTGTTTTCATTTTGATTTGACTTCCAAACTGTCAACACAAAGTCATGAGGGATCTGCTGGGAATCTGTGCCTATACACGCTTATGAGTGTAGTAGACTTTTGCTTACATGCCGATGCCTTAGTGTCCCTGTTGAGTCTGACTATAATATCTAAAAACAAAAAGTACTTTATATATTAAATGAGAACAGACTCGCTTTAAAAAGACGTGTGTTTTGCCAAAGGCAAGAGGGTCACTTTATCACCGTCTCATTAGTTGAGTTGATGGAAAAGAAAATGGTCTTTGGAGCTGTAAGCCTGCACACTTCATTAGCTGTTATAATAACTGACTATAAAGCAGTGGGGAGCAGAAAAGGGGAAAGAAGAGACAAAAGGAGAAGACAAGAGGAGACGATAAGAAGAGAGGTGAAGAGGAGAAAGAAGAGAAGGATGTCCTGCCAATGTCTGTGTAACAAAGCCACTCTGTATGTAATTGTCTCGTGGTGAGTGTTGTGGTATTTGGCACCAGGAGTACTGTGAAACTCAAACCGTTGCTGCGGACTGTCCCTTTAATGTGGCAGTTGACTAAATGGTGCCCTGTCATCAGCCTGCATTTTCTCGCAGTGGTTTTGTACAATCAAACACTCACACACAGGCACACAAATGTAAACACACGCACCCCCCCACACAACCGCAACACACACAAACTATACTGTACATGTTCTAAACTAGATCAGTTACACAATACCTTTTCATTTCACCAGCATCATTGTATTCTATATGTGAATATGTCTACACTCAATAACACACTTGCAAAGCTGTGCTAGGCAGGCTGCTCTCAGCAAGTCGCCGGCACAGAAACCTGAGTGGCTGCACAGCTAACTAAACATACTCAGTGGATACACTGAGGAGCTGGGATTCTAGCATTGCCAGCTATGGCTAAAGGTGAATTTCATTAAAGCTGGGTCACTCTCCAACAGGGAAAGAGAGAGGGGAAAGGAAGTAAGGGAAGCAAAATGGATCAAATGCAACAAAGAAAAAGAAAGGACGAATGAAAGAGAGAAAGCCCCAGGGAAAATGAGTTCAGTAAACTATCATCACCCTTGATTTCAGCCCAATAATGAGCCTCTTTCAGCATGATAACTTCCTGCTACTGATGCATACTGATAGAGCCACGCTACCTGAATGCTGTCTGCTTGGTCAATCAAAACCATTCCCTGCCTGCAGACAAAACAAGTGGTGCAATCACCATCCATCCATCAGATAAGAAACAGATGTTAGTCATGGGGCCGAGCTCAACATGACACACACAGATACACTACTATGAACACATGGGTACGTGCACGCCTTTGTAGATTTCCATATTTCATGTTGTTCTGGAAAAATAAAGCTGTTTCTAAGATTTGTTTGGAACTACCCCTCATTGTATTTATGACTTTTTAAACATCCTTGATTGGTCACCATAATCATTACGTTGACTAAACTGCTCCATCATGTCCAGAAAACTACTGTCTTCGTTCTTGCCGGTGTATTTAACAATGTCTGTTTTTGTGTACACAGAATCTACTGTGGGATCCGGATGCTGTGGGTGACTTGGCTTTGCAAGAGATGAATTAAACAAACCAGACACAACGAGAGAGAAAAAATAGAGGTCAAGTTCAATTAAGTCTCATGTTGAGGATCTTCCAAGTCAGGTTATCTTTGTGGGGGATTAGGCGGATGTTGGCTCTCCAAGCCCAGGGGAAACGGAGGAGTGGATTTGACAGATAACTCTGGGCAACAGAGTTAAAAAAAATATATCCAGACAATTTTATGGATCTGACTCAGTTGTTCCTGCAGTGCTGAGGGAAGAACAGCAGCTTTAAATGCTTCCTCTGCCAGGAGCTGCTGATCTAAACCTGGACAGCTCCAGGAAACGGGACCATCCTCACCACAAAATACATAATTTTAATAAACTGGCAAGAATCCTTACTGATAAAGGAAAGGAAGGAATATGCTGACCAAGTCTATGTGGGAAAACCGAGGAGACTTTAAGGCATTTTCGTCTCAAGTCAATTTTCTTGGGGTTTTAGACCAGGTGGAAAGTATGTTAAATCTGACTTGCTGAAAGGTTTGTTTTCTACAAGCCTGTCAGATGTATAAGCCATTGTTGGACTGTGAAACTCCTGGAGATCTTGAGAACATTGGTGCAGTGCAGGATCCTCTCTGACTTGGCAGCTCTCTCTTTCATGTACAACACTAGCTGATATATTTGATTTGAACTAACAAACTTAGACATGTATGCAAGGTGTCCACAAGATACAATCAAGCACATCAGTGATGGGGGCATTTAGGGGAAATTACGGACATTTCTACCTTAAATAGAAGACAAGAAGTGTGGCTTCTCTGTCTTATAAAAATGATGTGACTACTACAGCTCAGTTACCATTTATGTCTTGTCTAGAGTCTACAGCTCTTGATTTCCACTTCACATCCACACATTTCATACTTGCTGTATGGGATGGGGATGCCTGGCAGGAGACAAACTGAGCAAAATGAAAATGAAGTCAAGCTGGATGATACTTCGATGAATATATGGAGCAAAGGTTTATAAAATGTAGTGGCAGCACTGGAGGCTTTTGCTTAAAGGAGAACTAAAAGTAGGTCAGTGGAAACAAGGGAAATGCAGTGCACCTGTGGCTGTATTCCCACATGCTGAGTAGATCAATGTGTAATTTGTTCCATCAATTATCCTCCATAGTGGCTTACACTGGGACAATGGGTGTTGTCAGGGTTGCTGAAGGTGACCACTCACAGAGGATGTGTTTAACACATCATTGAATAGAATTTTAGTCAGCACATGGTATAGTATAGTTCAGTGTACCATGTGTTGATTGCATTATGAACATATGATCATGTATTGCTTGTAACAGATGTATTCACAGCTATTAGAGGTTTGCTGAAAATAAGTCTGTTCAGGATGTGTTGAAATAGAGCCCTGGTTTTAGTGTGTGTGTGTGTGTGTGTGTGTGTGTGTGTGTGTGTGTGTGTGTGTGTGTGTGTGTGTGTGTGTGTGTGTGTGTGTGTGTGTTTATGTGTGTGCATTTACCATCACTAGAGGTGTTCCATGAAGTGGTAGCTAGCACACTGGGGTCTTGGGGAAACTCAGACCCTGTAAACAAAGGAAATGGAGAAGACTATTAGCATATTTCTTACTGTTGGGCCCTTCCATTTTTTCCATTGCTATTTCACTAGATGGATCGTGAACCCTGCAATTAGAATAAATGTGGAAGAGTGAGTGAAAAAATGACAAACTCTGAGCTTCAGCCCTCTTCACAGATACAGAGTAAAATACTGGAAATGCGGCAGGATGCCATTTATTTTGAACTGAACTTTGAAAAACATGCTGCCAGAGCCTACCACTGCTCAAAGAACCTAAAGTTGCCCAGTGGGGCTAAGATGGAGTCTAAGGAAGGTCCAACTTTATGATAGTGTCCTGTGACATACAGGGGGGACAACCAAATGAAACAAACAAACAAACAGAAGAAGTTGTTGTCTACTCTGACTCCAAAACCAATCCGTGAAAACATTCCTCAGGAAATGAAATACTTTGTTGTGCACCAGTATAGTGGCATCAAGAGAAAACAATCAATCTAAGAGTACATTAAATTTAAATAAAAAAGCTAAACTCATCCAGAAGCCTCACTATGTGAGAGCATCACTTTAAATAGACACACTGGTCCCACCCAATGTGATGCTCCTAAATTTAAAACAACAAGAAATAGGCTATAATCTTTCATGGAAGTTCAACGAAGTCAAACAACAAAACAAACATCTGAGTATTGGCTCATGCTGTTTTAATCATATTATTAATGAAGTAAACAATCACAATGTGGTAGCCACTTTGCTATGTAAAAGACTGCTTACAGACACACATACACGCACGCATTGTTTTTTTTTTTGTTTCCATCTTAAATGTAAAACAACACTGATGATAGCATTGAACATTTGCTAGTGTAGATCAAAGGTTTGAATGTATAACAGGGAGCCTATCAGCGAGCCATGTGGACCTAATGCTGCATTATTACCAGCTGACGACAGAGCAGCCCTCTGCTTTTCATTACAGGAGAGGAGAGGCAGAAAATGGGCTTCAGTGTGCACTGCCACAGGTCATGAGGTGATTCCTGTGAAAAAGCCTGAGCAGGACTTAAACTTGCAGGACTGACAAGGATGGAACCTGAAACAGTTTTATCTTTGCTGATTCTTTGGACAGCAGACAACTGACAAAAACCTCAACACACCTACATTACCCCATGATTACAATGAGTTCTGCTTCTCAGGCTGACACAGTGTGTGCGTGTGTGTGTGTGTGTGTGTGTGTGTGAGAGAGAGAAGGAGAGAGAGAGAGTGCAGGCTGGGATAGTTTAACATGATGAATGAGCAAATGGCTGCCAGCCAACTGAGGGCAGGCATCGTACATTCACAATCATGCAAAAAACACAAGCATGTGCACTGATACAATTGTATACAATTGTATACACACACACAAACACACCAACACACACACACACACACACACACACACACACACACACACACACACACACACACACACACACACTTATCTGCAAACCAAACCTTCAGCACCAAATTTAAAAAGAACTCGATAAAAGTATCTTGAATGAATTTACAACTTAAAAACATTATTGTTGGGGGGGGAGAGAGAGAGAGAGGAGAGAAAGTCTGCAGTCAAACAGGCGCCTGACACCGGCTCATACTAATTGGGTGATAATGTGTTGTTTCACACGTGCTGTGTCAGGATGGTAACGCCTTTGTGGTGATGCCTGTGAAATGAGCTGTGTTAATGAGCAGCGCTTTGGGCCTCTGCACCTGTTAGTGAGAGAGTCTGGAGGCTCGGCAATAGGCTCACAACAAGCAGCTGGCAGTTTTATGAGTTATAGAGAAGACTGTTACAGATAAGAAGCAACACTTGAGGGTTGATATGCGGTAAAGATAGGCCTGTGTTCATTACGTTATCTCTTCATTAAGCTGATTTTCAAAACAATAACCGATAATCTCGGTTGGCTAGATTCTTATCCCCTCTTGAGAAACACTTCATCCTTTGCTTTTCTTATGCTTTTGAGCTGTGTTACTGGACCCAAAATGACTTGCTGGTTTGTTTCTTGAGGCTCCTAACATGACACGGTTTCATGGTGAGCCTAAGGTGAGTCTGAACTCTCTCTGTGTTCTGGGTGGATAGAAACACAGAGCTCTGTGGTTTACAAAGGACAGAGGAGAAGAAACGTTGCAGCTCACTAGCTTCACTAACACAAAGCTAGCCAAGTGCAGCCAGGTGAGAGTTCAATAGAGGGTCTGGACATGGGAATACAAGGGAAGGGGAAGGAGGAGAGAAGAGGGAAAGGTGTACAATGAGGAGGTTTCTAAAAACAATATGGTGCAGGCACAGCAGCATCATTTTGTAAAAGAAACTGGTATTTTCAGGAACAAAAAGCAGTGCGTGAGATTTCATTGACATTGCTTTTGCAGATAAGACATTTGTTCAACTAGACAAAATGTTCACATTCACACATTTTTCTTCTATTTCTCTCTCTCTCTTTCTTCCACTTTATATCTCCTCTATTTAGGGCACATCTGTTAGTTCTCTTTCATTGAGACAATCATCTGGAATATCTAGGATGATTTGCAGAGTAATTTTGAGATTAGCTTTCTAATGTTTCTCAGTAACAGAGGGAAGCAATTGTATTACGCCCATTTGTTAATGAGGGCCTAAAAATAGGCAACTTCACAGTGCCTGTGACAGTTCAGATCAATGGTTCTTGCTGCTGTGGTTCGGGCCCCTGATTGGATCATGAACCTAATTCTGATGGCCTCCCATATTTTAACTGGAATGTGTATTAGGGATGCTGGTCTGCCAGTATGAGTCATTGAAAAGGATCAAAGGTTTTAATGATAATATGTAGAAGGAAGAAACTTTAACTGCATCTTATTTCCAATCCAGAGTCAACATTGGTCTATTTTTTTAACGATGACTACAACCTCTCCCAAGCAGTTTTAATTGCCTTAGTTGAGGAAGCAAATCAGAAAACAGCCATATGGATGTTTTTGTAACATGGGTTATTTTGAAAGGGATCAGACAAAGAACCTATTGGAAGTAACCCTGGAAGATTATTTAAACAGGCTAAACTTGTCTAAAACACTGTTAGAAAAGTGCATTATTCCAACTTAATCAGGTCGACTGTACCAAGTCTACTTTACATCTCAATGTGCCCCCCACTTTTTGTAATTGGCTGTTGATAACATTACTGCCGTCATATGCATGGGGTGCACACCTACAGCGCCTCCTAAAATCCCCATTTCATGCCATCTCTCAAAGAATTTATCTGTATCAGTTGAAGTCTGCTTCGTGCTGTCTCTCCAGCCAAGAGCCAAACTACCTTTTAGCTGGTTGTCTACCATTTCACAGCCCTTCCGTTTGGAACAGCCACAAGTCAGTCTCCCAGAACTATTTGTCCACTGATACCATCTCTGCCCATTGGTTTTTATTAAAATGACGATTATCTCAACTGTTAGAAACCCTAATTTCCTTTTAAGTACCTTCAAAGAGAAGCAATATAACCTGGATCACAAAGCAGTGCACATATTTCCATAGCATGTCAGCAGTGATATGTTAAAACTTCAGAGGCCATTTTGGTATGGCAGTGAACACACATCAAAAATCTGGATGTCTGACAAGCTTTATTATAGTATCACTTTCCCTTCTTGGCTGGTAGTGCATATTTCATACAACTGAAAGTTTTGGAACCTCTTCTTTCATTTGCAACTGAGTGCCACTCAATTGCCATCCTAGTGGCAAAAATATACAGTGAATGGTTAACATGAAGGTGCCTTTGAGAAGTCCAGACATCAAATCTCCACACAGAAAGTTCCATGAGAACAGCCTGTGATCCTCATCCAGCTGTATTTGACTAGTGATGATAAAAATCATATAGGGACATAGGCTTAACCCCTATAAAGCTCTGAGAATTTGGTGTGACTTTACTGTGACAGCAGCATATGGGAATTAGTGCAGAACTTCAAACTTCAAGGCATGGGAATGAGGCCTCTGAGGCCTAAAGTAGAGTAAAGCAGAAGAAAGTGAGAAAGAGGCAGCCTCAGAGGGTAACACTGAACCATATCAGAAATGTTCAATTTGAGCGGTTATACGTTGCAACTAATATGCTGTTATATGGTCTGGGGGGCTGTGTTTGGAGCCAGGCTGGTTGGTGTGGTGAGTGAGACTGATGTATGAGCTCTCCCGCTCTGTTATTAGGGCCTCTCCCAAGGTCCTCTTCCTTCCCTATTAACTGGAAAACTGACCTAACTATGGGGTTATCTGGAAGAACAGCAAACCAACCATTTTCACAATATAGCTATGTCATATTTCTGTCTTAAAGAGGTGAAAGATACATATGCTTACAGTAGATGAGGAAAAATCAGGAATGATAATCATTTCCTTCTTCAATTTGTCTTCATCAGATCTCTCTTTCTGTTCAGCAAGTTTCTTTCTCTCTTTTTATATCCCAACTCTCTCTTCTTTTTGTTTTCTAAGTTCATGTGCTTCTACTGAAAAAGATCTCCTCACAATCCTGTTCGGATTTTACAAGAAACACTGTCTCACTTCCCTCCTGCCTGCTTATCTAAAGGAAGCAGTTAAAGTGAACATCTATTCGTCTTGTATACCAAACTATACAGTTACAGACAACGAGAAGAGTGAAATAAGAAGCTAATGTCCGACTGTGGCCTGCATCCAGAACCAGACTAAGCACCATGTAGGGCTCAAACTGCCTTAATGAATTATTAGCACAATTAGGTTTGAGATTGGAAAACGAGCGGAAAGTTACAGTCTTGGCGAAAGGACAGGGATTTGAGAAAATAAAGATTTTTCATGCCAAAAGGAAGAGGAAAAAAAGAGTGACGGAGAGAAGAAAAGGAGAATAGAGGACTTGGAGATAAATGGAGGGAAGAAGACTTGGAAAATGTGAGAGTGTAGAAAAAAAAGACAGCAAGAGAGAAAATAAAAGAGAAACTTCATAATAAAACCAGAGTGAAGGCGCTCGTAAAATCTGCTTTTTAAGAATTGGGCTTCTGTCCCACCAGGCAGAGTGCAGGTTT